CTTCCCTGATGTCACCCAGGGGTGTGGGCACAAGATTATCCCTCAGACCAGCCCACTCTCTCGAGGCTCCTTGCCCTCAGGAAAATCTTTTCTCATCCCATCTTTCCACAGAGCTGCACTACAACTCCTCTATCGTGTTTAGGTGGCTTCCCCAGACATAACAGAGAGAACCACAGCCAGAGTGACAGGTAGTCCTCGCTTAACGACCATTCAAAGTTACGACAGTGCTGAACGAATGGTACTTACGGATGGTCCTTGAAGTTATGGCTATTGCAGTGCCCCCATAGTCACCTGATCAAAATTTGGCTGCTTGTTAAAAAATCTGAAAAAACTCTTCTGGGTTAGAAAGGCCGAACCAGGTCAGTAATTTCAGACATTAAGTTAAACTACCAGGATGGTACTCTGCATCCAGAACATTAACTGAAGCACAATCCTGGCAAATTCCATCTCTGGTGGAGCGGAGCAAAAGATCCAGCTGCTGCCGGTTAGAGTTCCATTTTGCATAAATTGGAACTACTGGAGGGGGTGTGTGACTTTAAACACCGCACCCAAGATCCTGCCCACAACTAAACATGACACATGTCATCAAGGGTATCCAGTACCTGAACAGGGGGATGGTTCCAAAGCAGCCTTTCAAATCAGCTCCACGTCAGGCACTGTAATGGGCTGTGAGAATAACCTTGAGAGACGGGAGGAGGAACGGCAGCCCAGACAATGGTCTGAGAAGGGAAATCTGAGAAGCAGGAAGGGAGGTGGAGAGAGCATCTCAGAAGGGACCCTCCCTAGTTTGCTGGAAGGTAAAGCCAGGGGAGGGGAGTTGCCAGATTTTGTTACTGTAACCTTACAATAAAGGTATTTACCAGTGTTCATGGTTTTGGTTCCCTGGCCTGGACTGCTTGAAGGGCTGACAGGAACCTTGCTGAAATCTAGAGCTTCTTGAGGCACAAATCTCTCTGACCTCTTAAGCTTGCCTTCAAGAAGGATGCTTTGGCCATGGTCTCCCATGAGGCTGGACCTAGTTGCCTGCCCACATTGAAAGCCTTATCTGAGTCTGTTGTGAGTCAACACTCCGTCCCCTCATTCTGCTGGAAGGAGCTGAGACCAGAACTTGGTCACGTCTTCAAAGGGCTGCCCATCCCAGGATAGTGCCACTCTTGTCTCATTGCATCAGAAAGTGGCATGCGAGGCCCACTGCCACGGCTGATGCAGGACCTCCAAGACAGGAGCACTATTGTGAACGCCTCCTGGCTGCAAGTAGGGTCTTGGGGCTGCCCGGGGCTTGTGAACCAAAGGTTGCTCACCCCTGTCCTGGGCACATATAACCTTTCCTGCAAAGCAGTGCGTTAATTTAATGTGATAAACAAAGTTGGGGAAGGGCAGTGTCTTGCCCAAGATGTTTCTCGTGATGATCCCTACCTTTCCTTAATTTAAATACTGATCCCCCATCAGCGCGGTTTCAGAGCAGTGTGCAACACAGAATGAATAGAGTAAAACAGGCAGGGTGTACCACCTTGCTACCTGTGCCCTGCCTGACACACTTTTTGGCTACAATCCTAAATGCACGTTTTGTAGTATGAGCCCCGGTAACCAAACTGGAATGTCCAAATAAAGATGCCCAGGACTGGACTGTTCAGGCTGGGTGGTCCCCAACAAGTTAAGAAGCAAAGAATGGATTTGGGAAAGGGGATTATATGCCAGCGAGTGGCAAGCCCCTTGCAGATGCTTTTCCTGCCCGTCTGGCTAGAGGGGCCTGGAAGGCGACGCAGGAAGAGGCTCTTTGTCCGGCCTTGCAGAAGCCTGGCTGCTGAAGAATTGCCTCTGGGAGAGATCTTCCAGGCCGATAGTCTGTCTCCGTCACAAGTGCATTCCAGCCTGGAGACAGGGCGCGCAGGACTGAGACAGCCTTTCAGCTTTTCTGACTTGCCTTCTGAACCAAGTTTCTAGATCTTATGCTGAAGATGGTGTCAGATGCCTGAGGACACCTCAGAGGCCAAAGAAACGGCTCAACCAAACCACCTCTGGGCAGGGGCAAGGATGTCGAAGGCAAAACAAAGATGCTACATAACAAGAGAAAACCATAATATTTTACACAACGAATATTAGCCTCATTTTCAGGGAATTGTGGGTCTCCCTTTGTTTATCGCTAGCTGGGGAAGATGAGAGCTGTTGTCCAATGCTTTGAAGAGGAACAGGTTGGGGTTCAGGAGGGCTGTTTAAGCAAAGCAACAACAGCAGTGATAGAAACTTCTCAGAAAGCCAGATGTTGGCTGACAGATGGAAGCAAAGTTGGGAGAGAGAGAGAGAGAGAGAGGGAGGGAGAGGGAGAGAGAAAGAGAAAGAGAAAGAAGGAGGGAAGGAGCAGTTGGAGAAATGATTCTTCCGCTGGAGGCATTTGCGGATATTCTCCTAGTCTCTCTGCCTGCAACTAGGCTGGAGAATTTCCAGAGATGCAACCGTGAACTGTGAACCATGACTTTTTTCTTTGTTCTTTGGCAACAATGATGGTTAGATTGGGTGACCTATCATGCCAGGAGAAAGTGGGAGGGTGGGTCCGAAGCCGCTTTGCTTTCAAGTCAGGCGACGAGCGAGATTAGCTGGGATGAGCGTCTGGGGCAAGTCGAGGCCTGGGCTGAGACAGGGAAACAGGTGTGCGGGAGGCACACCAGGGCAGGATTGCGCAGCTTCCTGCAAAGGCCCGCAGGCATCTCAAGCGCTCCCTTGAAGCCACACAAATCAGGAGCTCCGACGGGCTGCAGCTCGGAGATGCGCTCTAACTGGTGGTGGCTTTCTCCTTTTAAGAGGGCATCTCGCCTAGGAGAAGGTCTCTGGCCAGCAATGGATTGAGCCTGGCCCATACACCTCCGGTCGGAACGAGATCCTTGGCCTTTCGGGACCAGAGGAGGGGCTGGAAGGAAGCCACAGCCATGAAGAAAATGTTCTCTTGCTCCAGCAATCAAGTGGCGGTGGGTAACAACTGCCGGGTTCACTGAATCTCGGTCTGACAAGTGGCAGGAACAAATGTGATGCTGAAGCCTGTAGATATATACTTGTAAAAAGCAGCAGAAGTGTGGGACCTAAAGGCAATGAAAACGTGGTTTTTATCTCTTGATTTGAATCAAGCTGCTAGTCCTTAAGGTTGCAGAGAAAAGCTTGGAAAACCAGAATCTGTGCCAAGGCACAGGAGGAGCTGTATGCTTTGGGGCGCTGAGGAGGGGAGCATTAGGGCTTTCTCCAGCTTATCTTGCTACTCAGGGGCTAGCAAACACTACTCTGCCTTTGCTGCTTGAGGCAACTGGATCTCTGTTCCTACCGGGAGGGATGGCAAGGCTTTGTTTCTAGGCAAGCCGCAGTTTTCCACTTTACTTTTTTACTGAAATTTCTTCCAAAGCAAAGCAAAGGTAAAAGGTGCCAGAGCCCTGCATGGGACGGGAAGAGGCATGAATGGGGTCCTGTCGCCCCTTCTCCAGAGGCCTCGTGCAATGGGTGGTGAGAATAACCTTGAGAGACAGGAGGAAGAGACGCACCCATGGTCCGAGAAGCGCAATCTGAGTCCGGAGCAGCAGTGGAAGTTGAGAAAGCGTCTCAGGCTTGGCTCTCCCTGGTTCTCTTTAGGATAAAGGCAGGGAGGCACATTCAGAGTTGCAAAATTCTGCTGCTGCAACCCTGGAATAAAAGTGGTTTAGTATGCATGACTTTGGTGTTCAAGTCTGGTCTACCTTGCAGGGCTACACCTAGGAGCCAATACTGGGGCTCAGTGTAAAAGGCGCTCTGCACATGATTAGAGGCGCACAGTGTATGTTCTGGCTGGAATCCTCACGCTCATATTCCAAGGCTCAGTCCCAGCTCAGAGAGGTCCTTGGGAAAAGGTTGCTGAGTCCAATTCAGCATTTCAAAGAAGTGGAAATTCTTTTTTGTCTCTTTGCATTGCTCAGTCTTGCTCTGTCCTGCCCTGGGTTCAACCCAGCCTCGGGGACTTCATTTTGCATGACTTCAGCTTCTTCTGAGGTGGCATCTGCCCTTGTCGGGGGACTTTTATTTAGTGTGGCAGCGTCACTTCTCATGGGTGTTGCCACCCTCAACTCTGCAGCTGAGAGGAAGGGCTCGAATGGAGCATGTGTGGGGCTGAGCGGTCCTCTTGGGGTTTCCGTGGCAAATGGGGAGCCCTGGCAGACCCCTTCTTCCAAGAGGGTCACAGGTCCTTTCAAAAGGATGATCCAAGCAGCTGGTACTTCCTGACATCTCTGAATCAGTCCAAGCAGGGAGGTTCTAACTCTTCCACCTTCTCCCTTCAGCCCAATCCTGGGAAAGAGAGACCGAAAGAGGGTTGGATCCAGAAATAGAGAACTTCACAAACAATCCTGAGATCACAACGATAGCTGTGTTGGGAGGAGGCTCTCATGAAGAATTCCTTTGCAAATGAGGCAAAATCACTAGACATAAAAAGAAGCTTATTTAGAAAATGAAAATAGAGGAAAAACAAGGAAGGCAATAATCCTACACATAGAATTCCAAATAAATAAATAAATAAATAAATAAATAAATAAATACCCTTAGCCTAGCTAAATTAGTTTCTTCTTCTAAATTATGTGGCTTTCAAAATATGTTTAGGATATATTGCAAAGAGGATGGTTGAAGAGAGGTTATCTACACTTTCTAGCTGGAAGTTGTCAGGCAGGTTCTCCTTGCCTGCTCTTTCTTTCTTTCTTTCTTTCTTTCTTTCTTTCTTTCTTTCTTTCTTTCTTTCTTTCTTTCTTTC